TTTTTTTTTTTTTTTTATTTTTTAATTTTTTAGTGAGAATGTTAAACCTGAGTCTGTTAGGTGTAAGTCGATTAATAATATATTATCCCAACTAACACATTTATACTAATATAAATTTGATTTTAGTATATATATTTATTTCTTGATGTAAGAACAAATATCAATTTTACTTATTCTTGTTTACCATATATAAAGAGAGAGAATGAAAGATGGAGAAAAGTTGTTTGGTGCTGTAGCGCAAGAATCAACCACCCCTTTAATCCTTTACATAGAAATCATGTAGTTGATTACCTTTGTTGGCAAAAATAACAGTAGGTGACTGTGGGTTCACAGCCACAGTAAGTCGACCATACTCCTCAATCAAGATGGTGACCATATTAGAAGTACATGATACATGGGACAAACATTTTTATTATTGTAAGTTATCAAAAGAACCACAAAATAACCACACTTCCCAAAGCACTTCCAAAAATGTTCTTTTCCATAGTACTTCCAAAACACTAAATCCTGAAAGAGCCAAGCCTGACAGAAAAACACTCCCAGAAACCAAAATAGCCGATCTTGACTACGAGAATGTCGCAGAACTAAAAATGAGGCCACAGGCAAGTAGAATATAGAAAACTGAGTTGACTGATGGCGCCGGAAACTTTTCCGGCAACACATGCCCGCACGCACTGGAGCATGGTACTACTGCCGGTAGTTCCGGTGGCGCTTGTGTACCATACTCGCTGAGGCTGAAGATGAGACTTGACAAGAGTGCTCTGACATGGCGACTGCCAGTCGACCTAGGTGGGACGTGAGACCAAAACTGACTCATAGGCACCAGGAAACAATGGACAAGTGGGTAAAAAAAATTGTTGTTGAGAACCCAAACCCTAACCTTGCTTTGTACCATGTAAAGTGGAATTAACTATTGTATTATATCTTTCAAGGGCACAATACACATTTATATATGAACCAGTTTAGGAGCACACTAGAAGGAAATAAGTCAAAGAAACTAATCTATGGGTTATATTTGATTTTTTTTTTCTTTTTTTTGTCATTGGGACATAAATATACAATCGCATCATCTATAATATTGTTTTTCTTTATTTTGGTGGCATGTGTAGCCGAGGCCTCGCCATGGCGAATCACCTTGCCTCGTGGCGAGGCCATGGGCCAATCGCCTCCCTCGCCATTTAAAACTATGTGTTGAGCACAGGCTTTTCCTTCAAGATCACTTTGAAGGAATCATGCATCTGTTGTCATGCTCCTTCTATTCAGCATTTACATTGTTGCATATTGAGTGTTTGCTGAAAATATTTGTGGTGTCCCTTAATAGTGACGACCTTTAAACTTGATCTTATGCTAACAAATAACCTTTTCAAGCAAGAATTCAGATATATCCGGAGAACTACGATTTTCAACAATAATTATTGTTAGTTTTCTTGGAAATGAATTCCCCAAATTCCCAATTTTCAAATTTATAAACTTTAGAATTATGCATTTTGGCAGGGTTGCGATTTGCTGGTACAAGAGACGGAAATGCACAAGAAGTGCTTTACAAATATTCTCTATACTTTCTGAATGAGGTTTGTCTTGGAATATTATTTTTTTTTTTTTTGGCTTTAACGTTAATGGAAGGTGAGAAATTCACCAATATATGTGCAGATAAAACCAGTTTCTGTTTCCAATGGCAATGATTTTCCAAAAGGACTATCTCGTTATGTTGATCGTGGGACATTGGAGACATGTCTTCATCTGACCGTTCTTTCCCTATGTGTGGTCAGTAATTAATAATTTTTCATATTGTGTTTGTGATTGGCGGACAGTAAAATAACCAAAGATCCTATAATGCAGGTAATGGCTGGATCAGGTCATCTACAGACCTTCAGATTCCTCAAATTTCTTCGAAATCGTAATACTGCTGATGGCCATGCTTATTTTGGTACTCAAATGGCGGTAAGTTTGCTAAACATGTATATCTACACACCTTCTGCTTCTATTTGGATTGCTGAGACAATACATGAAACTATACCTGTTTCACACCTTAAGACTTGGTTGTACTTATAACATTATTGTGGTCTAAGTTGTTTTAGACGCTCTGTTCTTTGTCATTATTCCACTTTAATCAGCTGATAACTGAAGGTGGTCTTGAATATATAAATTCTATGTAGGTAAGCCTGGCAATTGGTTTCCTGTTCCTTGGGGGTGGAATGTGGACCTTTTCCACTAGCAACAGTTCAGTTGCCGCTTTGTTGATAGCACTTTATCCAAGGTTGCCTACCGGCCCAAATGACAATCGATGCCATCTTCAGGTGAAGGAATTCGAAGTTGCCCATTTACGATATTGTATGCACAGTTGTACCGTGAGAGTACGTTTATGGTTATCAAAATTAAGATAAATTACAATGGAGACTTAGATACCAGTATATGCAATAAAAGACCGATTTAAATAAATTTTGCTTGTCGTTTCAAGGTGACATTCCTATGGAAAACCAATGGGCATCGTTGTCCTAAAAGTTACTCTACACCTTCAGTCTTTGCACTTTTAGTTGTTAGATGTTTGCATATCGGTTATAACATGTTGGATTGTGGCACAGAATGTGCTGTTGTATTGGTTTTGTTTGCTATTTTGTGAATGTATATATAGTTATTTTATTACAGAACATAAATGGTAAATGGATCAAGCTCGACAAAACAAAAAAGAATAAATGATAAATTGGTGTTTATTATTATTATTATTATTATTTTTTATACACTAGCATCTGCATGATTCATTTTCTGATATTTTGTTTATGTTTTTATTTCCATTTCCTCAAGTTTTCTTTTGTATCTGACGTTTCTGTAATAGTTACTGTTAAATTTCATGATCAAATCTGAGCAGTAAGTTTGGCTTTTGTGTTAAGTTATATTCTTCTGATTTGTAGTGTATTTAACGACAGGCATTCAGGCACTTGTATGTTCTTGCTGCCGAAGCCCGTTGGATTCAGACGGTTGACGTGGATACAGGTTTACCTGTTTATGTCCCACTGGAAGTTGCAATTAACGAAACTGAGCTCTACAATGAAACAAGTTTTTGTGAGGTCACTCCATGCAGTCTCCCAGAACGTGATATTGTAAGTGTTTACTATTTTTCTTCCACTAAACCTTTCTTATTCATCTTACACATGTGCTCTTAGATTTATATTCTATATTCTATATCATGAGTTGATCCCTCATTAGAAATGTGACACCTTCATTAGTTATCACTTCTTATGCATCTCAACAATTAGCTGCAATTAAAGAACTGCATCCATTATTGATAAATGGGCCCGAGTAGAGCTCCATCTATAAAAGCTAATTCGAAGGTAGAGGGTTCCGAATCCAGACTTAAACACAACAACTACATTCCCCGAGTAAAGCTCGTAACCGTTATCATGGCCTATTGTGTAAAATGTATTATATATCAACTGCCATCATGAGTAGCATGGTTTTAACCTCCATTCCACTTTCTATGGTAGTAACAACCAACTGTTTTTATTTTTACTCCTTTCCGTACACTTAATTATTATTGTTTTGTATTCTTTAAATCTTTTACTGCAGTTAAAATCTGTTCGTGTCTGTGGTCCTCGATACTGGCCTCAGGTTATTGAGCTTTGTCCTGAGGGTACGACTGATGCCCTTCACACATTTCTGTTGTGAGCTTTTTTGACTGCGCTCTTGATAACCTAAATATTAATTCTTCACAGAAAAAGGTTGGTGGAAATCTGGGGACCAGCACCACCCATTTAATTCAGGTGTTATATATGTCAAGAGAAAAGTCGGAGCTTGTTCTTATGCGGATGATCCCATAGGAAGTCAATCTTTGCTATCACGAGCATTGCACAAGGTTTGCATCCCTGTTAGTTAGTTAGTTGTATTTTACATTTATGCAATTAACATAATCATTTTGTGGAAATTGATGCTCTTCTGTGCAGATGAGTGCCTTGACTCAACCAAATTCCTGCATGTCAAGTGCTGAGTGTACAGCTGATGTCACAGTGGATCAGTTGGTCAGTACCTTCTCATCGGATCCGAGCTTAATTGCTTTCGCTCAACACTTTTGTGACTCGTCCCGAAGTAGCAAGTAAGTTTTTTTTTTTTGCTTAATTCAGGTTTAATATTGTAACTACAGTTATATTGATTCCTCCTATCATGTACTTTGACATATGGACTTCATTTATATCAGATGATCTTATGAGGAGAAGCTGTGTGCATGTGTGTGTGTTCTCAATTAGATATTTTTGAAACTTGTATTTTATGTGCATCAATTGGTACTACTGGATACGAGGATCCGTTGTAAACTAACCTGGTTATAACTTTGCTAGATTATCAAATCTTAATGTATATATTTTTTTTAACTGTGCACATTATAACACAAGCATGATAGTTAGCGCTCTTATGAAGGTAAAGCTGTGTGCTTGTGTATTCAATTAGATTTTTTTGGAACTTGTATTTTAATGCATATCAATTGGTGTGATTGGATGTGCTGATCCATTGCATAACTGTTTATACCATCCCTAAAAGTATCAAGTCGTAAATGGATAGTTTTTGAACTTTGGATATATAAACGTGAGTGCCCCTGCTATATTTCAAGTGTATTTTAGCATAAAAAATTTGTTTGCAGATCTGAGCTTGACTTCCGTGAATTTTGCCTGCGAGTGTTATTTGAGTGTGTCAGCAAGGACAGACCGACTATGTTACAGGTATCTCCCCGAATGAACTTCTACTGTGTTAGAATTAAGATCACTTTTTCTTGTTGAAGTTAAGTAATATGTTGATTGTATGGATGCTGTTGACTTACTTAGGGCGTGATTGTATATAATTTGTACACTAAATATCTCACTCAAAACTCAAATTTAACTCAACTTTAACTCAACTCCACTATCTCCAATATTATTAATATAACTAGTGTCTACCCCCGTGTGATGCACAAGAACAATATTAAATTAACAATATTAACTACCATTGATCTTATTTAAAAGATGAAGAAAAAAAATAATTATAAATTAAAGAGGAGGATAAACAATACTTAATAATTATAAATTAAAGATTCGGGGTCAAACAATGTAAAATTATTTTGTACAAGAGAATATAAAATTTATATTATTTTGTATAAGAGAATATAAAATTTGTATGTTTAATATTAAAAACACCTAAAATATTATATTAGTATTTGTAAGAGTAATCAAAATTTTCTATATTATTTTTGAAAGATGTGAAATCACCTACAAATTTTCTAAACAATTTTAGAAGGAACATATCTAAAAACATTTGAATTTAATATGGCGTAAAAAGATTTTTCTAGACTATTTTGTAAGGAAAATATGTCTACAAATATTTAAATTTAACATTATGTATGTGTATATGTATATATAGACGAATATGTAAAAAAAAAATGTCTAAACAATTCGTTTAAAGTATCTAAAATATTATGAGCATAATTTAATAAATACATTATGTCAGATAATACCGAATTTATGGCGTTACTTCCATCTAAAAAATATTTGATTACACACCATTGTTATTATATTTTTTACGTTGTTATCGAGGATGTATTGTTAACTTATAATATTTGTAAAAATATTAGTAATTAGACCGATGAAAATGAGCCTTTTAAGTAGATAATGGATTTCTAGTAGTAATTATGAATTGATTTTTATTTTATTTTATTTTTTAAAATCTTTATAGATAAGAGATGAGATTTTTTAAAATTGTGAGACGTATGAAATATAACAAATAAGAGATAAACTCGAATATTTGATTACACACCATTGTTTACGTTCTAAAAGTGCCATCTTCGACAAAAATATGCTTCAAAATTTGTTATCTTCTTTAAATATGAATAGGGCTTTAATTTCTATAATTCTTATACTACTAGTCACCATTAGCAGGACAACTTTTCGCTGGGGCGAAGAAGAGTGTTAAGAACCCTCTGTGATATCTGACACCAGAATATTCCACTAATATCAGCAGATGTGTTGCTTCCCAACTCCTAATAATTCATACTGTATGCAGAAAAACTGTCGGTTTTGAACTCTATTCAAGGAATTTATCTAGCTTTATGTTTAAGTTAAAAAGATTAAGGGGTGATTGGATATGAATTCAACTAGTAAAAAACTAATTTTTTTTTAACTATAGTTAGATTTGAAAAAAAGTAGTATGGTTAGTTGTTAGTGGATATATTAAAATAATATTTAAATTAAAATAATTAAAGTTGATTTGATGTAAAAGTAGGAGAAAATGATTGGAAGTGATAGTTAAAATTATGTGAGTGAGTGAATAGTGAATTAAAGTTGACGTGATGTATAAGAATGATGGGGTGATATTATTTAATTTATCATTATATAAAAAGAATAACCTTTTTATAAATTTAGAAATTTTTTCCCGCCAAAATCATTAAATATATCCTAAATATAGTAATTGTTGGACAATTGTGAATAGGCAAAAAAACCGGTTCTTTAATTGCATTGTTTCCTTAATTCTAGCTTGCAACAATAAATCCGATTGACTTTTGGTTTAAACTTTCCCACAAAAATCTCATATCATAAATCTACTCGAGTTTATCTCTTATTTGAATATTTTATTCTAAATCCCCAAGAACAAATTGATTGGAATCAGTTGGGGTAGTCAGTCTACAATGAATCAGTCTACAATGAATTTCAGCTCTATGTAAAAGTGCCATCTTCGACAAAAATATGCTTCAAAATTTGTTATCTTCAAAATATTTTGACCAAAACTATTTCGACCATAATTTGCCACATCAATGCAACAATCTTCCCCAATAAACGTTTTCCCATATAAACGTTTCCCATATCAATGCAAAAATCTTCCTATTATCTATTGTTATGTTAAAATATTTTGACCAAACCTATTTCGACCATAATTTGCCATAAATAGTTATATTAGTTGTAGTAAAAATCATTTTTGCCCCTCTTCCATTTATTTTCCTCAATCCTCTCAATGTCTAAAATTTATATCATTCCAAAAGTAGGTGAATTTATTTGATTAATCCGCTTTATTCTCTGTGTTGAATTTTGATACTTCGTAATCTTATGTATATACTTTGTAATCCAATGTGTCAATTTCTGGTGTTTCGGCGTAGTTCATGTAGATCTGGACTTTTATACATGCCTATTAAGACATTTGAAATTATAAAACACTTGACTAGCTTAAATAATAAATATATTTTAAAAGCTAATAACTTTTATATTTGTTATTATCTTTCTATATATGATTTATCAAATTAATCATTTCTTCAAGACCTTTAATTCGACATCGATATTGCAGATATGAAATAAATAATTATATTTATCTTTATAATAAATATTAATATATTTATGAATATTATTTAAAAATAATAAAATTATTTATTAATTACAAATTTATCTATAAAATAATTATATGGTGCAAGTTCAAGAAAATTATAATAGTATAAGATGTCGTACAAATGAAATTGTCATTTTGAATGTGAATAGTAATACAACCCTTTAGAAAAAGTATTTAAAATTTGAAACAAAGTAATGTAAAAGACATAAACTATAAAAATAACTAAAATGACTAAAAAAGAACTTAAAGAGCTGAAATATAAATCTTACAATACTAAAAATCCTATAAGCCTTTAAAAAATTAGAAAGCCCCAAGAAAAAACAAAAATAACAAGACCCCTGAAATTCCATTGACGTATCATAGTCCAAGAGACTTATGTTTTCATATCGTTTCCAGCATTCTTCCTAGTTAAGTAATTCAGAATGGACCATAGAATCTTTTCATCCCATTTACATCCTATCATTTTGACGTATAACGACTTTCTATTATATTGATCATTCAGCTAGGGCTGTTATTTGAAACGGTTTGGATTGTGAAAGCGAGCTTGACCAACTACTCGAGCTCGTTTACTAAATGGGCCAAGCTGAGCGTGTTAATAAATATTTCTGTTAAGGTTTGACATGTTAAGCCTTACTTTCTAAAAACTGTTTCAGGTTTATTTGTCATTGTACACTGCAGTCGGGTGCATGGTGGATTCAGTGTTGTCTGGATGTTGCAGCATTCCCACTGATTCTCTTGCCCTCTCGAGTTTGAAGATTGCAGTAGCCTACAACAAGGCTCTTGCTAACGGAAGACTGTCAACTTCTGGAACGGAAATCGTGCAATCATCTTTTCTAGGCTCCCTCAAGAAACGAGTGGATGATCTCATAAACTGTTCTCTAAACTTGGAAACTGATTTTTGCGCTTATGCTATGTCAGGAAAGTTGCCAATCGATGATAACCCCGGTTCAATAAAGTCTCGGGCAGTTTTTTCATGGTACCTCAAGTGGTATGATTTGCCATCACCACTGGATGTTAGAAAAGCTGTTGAGAAGATTAGAAATGCTAATTTACGCCCATCTGTACCCTTGTTAAAGATGGTTTTTCCTTCGAGTCATATTGCTGCAGTCGAAGCCATCTATAAATTATGTTTATCTTCTAGAGATGAAGATTGAAGGCAATCCCCGTACTCCCCTGAGTTTTACCGATGTTAATTTTGAGATGTTAGACTCTACTGCAAATGTATCTGTTATATTTCTGCAAATATTTAATCCTAGGGACCTATTTTTTATACTATTTTCCCCATATTTGAAGGTTATTTATGGATTTTAAGTCTTTGCGATGTGTTGTATTAATATATTGAACGAATTCAAAAGGTCCCAAATTTCTGAGTGCAGTGTGCGAGATATTTGCAATACAAAAAGATTCTAGTATTGTTACACGGGATGTTGCAATACAAATAGAAAATTTCCAAATGAATAAGCTGTAGTGATACAAATAAACATATTATATTGTATTGATAGCTTTTGTATACATTTTCTTTTACTTGTATATTTTCTGTATCAAAGGTTAATATTTTGAGTTCTTTTTTCTTTTTACACCTCAAAGAAAAAAATAATGCACAATTAATTGGTCATAGCAGAACATCACATTATATAGGTATAAAGACCAGCTCTATATACAGCCATCACATAATATGAACTGTTGGCCGGCCAACGCACAATTGATATGAATTGAACGGTTTAATCTGGGATTACTATATGTTTTATGGTATAATTGAAGTAATAAATCGGGAGAAAATATGAATACATTCACATTAACTAAGAAACTAAATATGAAAAAAAAAAAAGAAAAAAAACACAATGTTGTCGATCTGTTGTGGAGACCAACAATGAGAGTGGTTCTCTGAGATATTTTTATTAAGAGATTGTATGACCCAACTTCTTGTCCGGGCTTTATCTTCGGTGGGCCGTGTTGTGGAAAATTTTTGGTATAACATAGAGGCCCCTAGATTTCAAAGTGTTGAGTGATCACCGATATGCCTGGAAAAATGTCGATTGACAACGATTATCTCGAGCAGGTGTCTATTCGATTGAGGCATTAAATGAAGGGATATAACTTGTCGAAATTAATAGAGGCCTAGTTCGTTTACGACGATCAGTATAAAACGAACTTCTCCTCTTTGGGATCAGTTCAATACACAAAGTGTACTATTGTAATTAATCAGTCAAGACCAACTGTACGGCGAACACTACAACCGTTCTGATGGGTTGTTCATTTCCATCTAGGTTGGGAACCTTCTATTCTTGTTTCGCAAGTAACTGATAAAATGATCGTCTGTTCACCCGATAATGAACCATTTTATCTAAGTGCAAAACATCAGAACATAGACTTGTTTAATTAAACATGATTCTCATTCAAACGGGTTCAGTGTAAATACATCTAAAACCAAGCTTTCAGTATATACACCAACAATCACTCACTTATACTTAAAGCTTCCGCTTTTACCTGTATACTTCTTCAATCAAAGAACTATTGTCCTAACTGCCATACACCTGACTCCCTAATCCCTTATCATGGCCATCAACAGCTTTCGCCAGAAGGCCAATTCTAAAAGGATCTCCCTGGTAGTCTCCTGATGTAACTAGGCGACAAAACTCTACCCCTTTGCGATTCCTGGCACTGGGTCGTATTTGCTATATGTGCTCACTTGCCTTATGAACTTGTGATTCATTTGTGTTTGCAACTGCACCAACTATCATCACAGTCAAACTGCGATCTGATTTGGGGAAACAAGGATCTTCACGTTTCTAGTCCAATAGTGTCACACCCCGCCTCACTACTAGCTTTGAAAAATCAGAGTAAAATTTTTGTTTTTAATTTTCGAAAGAATGTGCGAGCTGGATTTTCGAAAATTCTGACTTACTGCGGGATGTGGCAGATAAAAACTTAAACTGAACTCGGGCTTGCCCGCAGACATAATAAAAACATGCAACCAAACTATCCGCTCGCGGATTATGGAATTATACATGCGTAGTCTGTACTGTCTCGCACTGTCTAGAAAACTCGCTGGCGGAAGCATCCGAAATACGAATACATAACATGCGTACATAAACTGAATAAAATACACATGATCATAAATCTAGGACATAAAAATGCTGGTAAAATATGTCCGACTCTCATGACCACGCTGCGCCACATCTGTGCTCATCCGGCACGCTCGACTCCGCCTCCTGGAAAACATAATGGGGGCGTGAGCAAACCACTATGCTCCGCAAAGACCAGTACTGAACAAAACATCATCTATAATAACGTATCGTGAAACATAAATATATAAGAGCTGAAACTGTAAACTGATCTCTGATGTCTGTTCTGATCTGTGGTCAAAAGACCCTCGGCCGTAGCCGCTCGTGTGCACACGCCGATGGGGTAGAAAGGGCCTCGCCCCTCCCAACGGTCATCAGGTGGGTATAAAGGCCTCGGCCACCCAACCCGGAACTAAACTGTCTCAAACATACCTCTGCCATGGTACAGATATTATCTATGATCTGACATCCAGTACATGACCCCCACCTGAAAACTTGAAATCTGGTATGCAAGTGCGGAAGCTGGAGTAGCGGTCGGAGGCTCGACTTTCCTTAGGCTACATAAATATTTAAGCAAAATAATGCTAAGTATAATGCTCAGAATATTTAATTATATGCTAAAATGCTTGGACTTATCTACGCGATTAAACTGGACTGGACTGGCTCGAAAAAATATTGAAATTTCCGGTACTGGACTCGGATCAGAAATCACGAATCAAAACTAACTCAAACCGTCGGTCGAACCGGCCGGTTCGCTGGCTGGCCGGACTGCCGGCTCGACTGGGCCGGGCGGTCGGGCTGGGTTCGGCTAGACCGGGCTCGGTCCCGTGCCGCTGGACTTGGCTAGGCGCGGACTGGCGCTGGTGGGCACGGCCAGGGGCTGCTGGCACGGCCTGGGCACGACTGGTGCCCCTCGGGTGC